TGGCGGGGGGGGGGGGTTATCTATAGAACCACTGTAGACTTTTCCACTCGGTGATGGGTTGAGTCACCCCCCCCAACAGGATGTGAACTTGCAAACGTCCAAGTTGGCGCCGCTCGCTCCACCGTTTAACAACCGCCTGACCGGATTGCGCAATCACACGACGGGCAATTCCTCGTTTAACGCAGGTAGGGGTGTTCCTGGAAAGCGCGATGGAAAAAAAAAACTGTTAATTGAAAATGCGTGAAGCAAAAACATTTTCCCCCACAAGAAATTACGTAAAAGGTGGGGGGGGGGGGGGAGGGGGGTTTGCAAGATGCGGTGCACACGGTAAGATGGCAGGACAAATAACCGAGATGGGGGTATGCTGAGCGTTGCATCATTCCCCGCTTACACCCAGAATTCCTAAACCGAAAGAAAGTGGCTCATCGTCGACGTCTCGGAAACGGCGTTATTACAACGGGCAACCGTTCCGCGTTTTGCGAAAAGTGTTCCCATTTGGAGAACCCTGTTCTGGCGAAAACGCGTTCTGTGAACACGCGTTAAGCGAGGACTTACAGCATATATTTATTTTTTTAAAAAAGTGTTTTATACACGGCTGTATGTGTGTTGAACTTCTTTTCACCGTACGTAGCCAACCGTGCTAATCGGAGGTGTGTGGTAAGGACACAAAGCTAAACACAAATTACCGTACTGTATATGGTGTGAGTAGAAATGTTTTATCGTGTAAACATCCGTCGTGGGGCGAGTAGACCTGAGTAATTACACATTTTGCACATTCACCCCTCCCACATGCGGCACTGTGATAAATCATTTCCATTTCAAGGTTGCGAATTGATTCAAGAACTGCAGATATTTTTTTTTAAATCTCTGCTTTACCGTCTCATTTGGATTTTATCTCTTTTTTTTTGTCTCCTGTGTAGATTTCTGTTCACCCCATTATCCTAAGCGAAATGTGAGCGTGACATTCGCATATTACGTTCAATATACCCCCCTAAAAAAAATGCTTACGCACAATTCGGCAGGTTGTGGTGACTGGCGGGGTGTATGGTGGATGATGGAGTAGAACGACGGGCGGTGAAGTGGTTGGTGCACTTGTTATGTAGACACGGATATTTGAGTTCAATTCCCGGCTTACATTCGTGGCTAACTTCAGTGGTGAGTAATATCAAAAACCTGTTTTGCCAACCCCGTCACCAACGGGCACCAACCAGCGTGGTGAAGCAGCCCCAATGACTGAAACGCGTGCGGAGGCCTTCAAACGGCAACCGATTGTAAGCGTAAGCTTCAATATTAATCGATTAATTAAATGCATCTCTGCATGCCTTTTGAGTATAGATCAGTCCTGGATTGACACGGTAGATTAAGGAGCCACAGATTAACATTTCAATGTCCGATGTCTTCTAAGCGCGCATTGTTGTCAGATCTTTTCGGGCATACACCTTTCAAAGCCGCCTTTAGTACTTAAACCGATCAATATTTCTGCATTGCTTTTCTGTGTTCAGATGCTCCATCAGAGATAAGCATTATTGAGAGCAAATAAATGAATAAAGCCTTCTTCCTCCATTTGACGCTCCACATAAAAAATATATATTTTGCACAACCCATTGGTCGGCAAAGCATTCTGGGAATGCATATTATAATAATCAGCAGTAACGTTTCAATACGAGCAAAACGCTTGACCCGTGTTGACATTCATTACCTCATCATCAGACCGTGGCTTGCTTGAACCAAACTAACAGATGTTTATGGGCAAGAAACCTTTCTGTAAGAAATGCAAAACTGTCCTTTATATAACGTGGAAAAAAAAACATCTAGCGTAATTGTGGACAATGTTAACAATAAAATAACTAATAATGCCTTCCAAAAACATGCCTCACTTTCCAAAGGAAATAGTGTAATTGCGAGCAAATGCATTTCTAGCTGCACTGGTGCACTCCTTATCCGCTTTTTGCGTTTAATTTGTTGGCCTTTCCCCACACCTCCGATTCGCGCGGTTGGCTGCGTAACGGCGGTGCGAATTGAAGTTCAACATGCACACATACATTAGCTGATGTCGCACGCCTGTTCGCATGACATCATATGACATCAGCGCACGTGAGAGAGAGAGAGTCTTCGTTTGAGCCGGCTATATAATGGGCATTGACACCAACGGGAAATTCATAATTAAAAGGAATAGCACAAATCATGTGTGAATTAACAAGGAAGCAGATGTGAGTGGCCCATCAGTTGTGAACCGCAAACAGCCCTGGGACGGAAAGAAAAGCACTCCCTCGTGACGCAACCCGAAGCTTCCAAACGCCAGCGCGGTGTATATGGCAACTTGGCAAGGGTTGATAGATCGATGGCTGATTTGAATTTATAACTTCCCCAAAGGCGTCCGACGTGAGGCAGCTCCCGGTTGAAAGTTGACTGTTTGAGATATGCTTTGGCTTGACGAGTTTTATGAACGCGCGCAGACGTCGCCAGGCAGGGAGATGAATATTTCCCAAAGACAAATGAGAGTTGGCCCCCCCCTAATGGGTGGTAAATATTGCATCGGCCAACATTTCCTGTTTTGATATACGCCGTTTGTTTGCACATGGGGAATTCATATCGTTGTCCAAACAAATACAAATGCCATGTGACTTGTAAAACATTCTCCGAACGTCCTGTATACACTAATACGTTTGATTCTTAAGAGATTCATTTTAATTTCCTTACAAGATACCATGTGTTCACCGAATTGGCATTAGATATACGGTATTAGATTACTACGAAAAAGCAGCACAGTTAGAAAATTGAAGTATTAAGTTACCATCGGACACTATCATCTGACCCACAGGCAAACATCAAGCTATGCATGGTAATAGCTACGGAATATTACATTTAAATGGCCATGTCTCCCAAGTGCTCGGCATGTACACAGCTAATTAATTCTAAGTGTATATTTGTCGATTCAGCTGATGGTAATGTGCATCAAAGGCGGATACATTATGGATGTGTGGTAGCGTCACTTTGTGGTTGTTGTTGTTGTTGTTGTTTTTTTTGTTCAATATAATTTCTCGGTGCCTGTGCACATTCGCAATGTGGACATGCCTGTCAGGAATCTCAAGGAAGCCGCCGTTGCGCGAGGCGTGTCGTCAGTGCCTTGGCTGAGGTCCACTGTGGACATGGCCAGTGGTGTCGCCTAAATGCCTCGCTTGAGCCCACTTAGCTCAGACGTACACTCGGCCCCGGCCGTCCGCCAAATGTTTATGGCTGATGTCAATAGGGTCAGCAACTCGGCCGAGTATGACAACAGGCTTGGTTAGTGAGTTACATTCCATCAAATCCTGTGGTAGGTGCAATCACGTCTTGTTTTCGCAATGAACTTGTACAGCACAAGTTGAAGCACTGTTTACCCCATGTGTTTGGATTATATGGGTTTAAATAATCCAAGGCCCTTTAAAAGAGGGGTATTTGAGGAACATGCTTGAAGTACACATGAGAATGGTCTGCAAATTCAAAGCAAAGCGTTCAATGGTGTTTTTATTTTTACTAAGTGTTTGTAAAAAGTAATCCAACCCAGAGTTTCGAAGCCTTTTCACGTGAAATCAATGATCATTACAAATTAACTCAATGAGTAAAGTGTATTCAATCACTTATTCAATCTGGCTGCCTTCTGTGTGTCTGTGAAACTACTGCAGAAGATACCCGTCTGCTCTAACGATTCTAACGATTGATTTTATACCGTGTCGTTCATCCAAATTGCAACTCACAATCGCCGAGAAACCACAGACCAAGCTGGAAAGCTGTCAGGCAGTGCCCACAATTGCTTTGCAGTTCTCTACATATTCGGATGTTTTCATATGTATTGAGATGTTTTCAGCCAATTAACGAGTGTTTAATATACACGCGGGAGGAAACCAGAGCACCCGGAAAAAAAGCCACGCGTACGAGGGGACAAGACTCTATCCCACACAGAAGGGACAGATGATATCGGTCCACACTTTGCTGTACTGCATTCTGCTGACGCGCCAGGGTATTGCACCTCGATGCCCACGGGAAGGGAGCCTGGCAGCGTTGTTTCCGTAATTCGTGCGGTGATCCACCGACCCTCGCTGCCTCAACAGCGCCGGACGAGAGGCCACGCGCATAGCCACCACCGCACGTCTTTAAGAATGGCGCGGACAGAAAATAAACTCCTTAAAAAAAACTCATTGGTTTTTTTCGGTAAAGTCACGTATGTAGAAATACCGTAAAATTATATAATATTTTAATATTTTAATATAATTTTTTAAGGTATTTCTACATACGTGACTTTACCGAAAAAACCAACGAGCAATTTACGCAGTCACGAAAGCTTTAATTCCTTAAAAAAAGTTTTTCAAAACAGCGGTTTTATTTTAAAGTGCACTAAAAAGTAAGTAACTCGATTGGACAACGGGAAGTGGACGACATCTTGATGACAGGAGACACGTGGCGCATGCTTCTTGGGCGAGGCGATTACAGAGTTTTGGGACCGCGTCTTTTTTGACCTACACAAATAAATATTTAAATAATAAGCCATCCATACAGAATGTTAATTGCTTTAAAAGAGCCAATTGACTAAATGATGCCGATTTTGATACAGGCATGGATTGTCACCGGATCTGAGCACGTGTCCAAAATGTGGAGTTCACTGGACAACAGGAAGTAGACTAACTTTTGATTACAAGATTTCACCACGACAAACATAGGAGTCGAGATTAGTAAAACCGTGGAAAAACGTGCAATTGCTTCGCTTGGGATCTTCTGCAAGCATCAAAATGTTTTGCCGCAAGTATGTGTGGTTAATGCAGATTTGATGCCTTGCAATAGGAATCTATTTGGTTGCGCGAAACACCTTCAGCGCCTCCCGTTTTATTTCCAGAAAGGGGTAAAAGTGTTTTTCCTGTTTTACTTCACCTCTCTCCTCCCATCGCTCTGATTGCGTTTGCGTTCGAAGCTGGGCGGCGTTCCGCGCGCGGCTGACGGGCAGTGTGCTTGTGTCCACCGCGCAGGTGCCTCACCGCGACCACCGTCCGCCCCGGCGCCCGAGCGGCAGATGGACCACACCATGCGGGTGGCTGGCATCGTGGCCGGGTCGCTCGCCCTCATCCTCGTCGTCATGGCCCTGCTCATCATTTTCCGCAGGAGGTGACGCCAGCACGTTTTGCGCCCCCACAACCCACACGCACACACGCACACACGCGCACACACACACGCGCCTCTAACCCCTTTCTTCCAGAACGCACCACGTGCCGCGAACAGGACCGCCGCCCCGGCGTTCAATTAAAGATCCCATTTCAGGACCACCAATTTTTCTGTGGACCCTCCTGATTAATTGCGGTGCTCGTTAAGTGTGAGCGAACGCGTAAGTTAGAATTAACGTCGGGGCTCTCGTCCAATGAAGTGTTGGACGTAGGAAGTTGCCAACCTACGGCGTGGGATTGCTTCGGCTAATACGAAGAAACCACGTGATTAAATTTCAGTTGCCAGAACTTTGCAATAGATCTAGCTTAGGCCAGTTTAAATATGTTTTAAAGGGAAAATATTAGTCAATGTTTAGTCCAATACTCATTGACTAAAAAGCATTGTTTAGTCTTTTTTGTAGATTGTTGAACGATTGGATGTATGTTTTTTTATATTTTTCAGTAGGTTTGCGCAGATATTTCCACCGATCAGAAAATGCAAATGTCCTAAAATCCCATTGGAATTCATATTTTCACCTTGAGGAAATTGTAATACAACGTCGATTTGAATGCAAACTGGTGAGGCTGTGCAAGTGTGGAATTTCTTGCGGGCTATAATTTGGCGCAAATAAGCAATGTTGATTGCATCACAAATAATGGCAACATTCTAAATTACACACACACACACACGAGTGCAAGCATGTGCACAAGATTTAAAAGGTGTCACATGTTCATGATTCTTGTTGTTTATTCACTGTTGTGATTCATAATTATAATTCTGCCATTCGGATACCCATAATCTAAATAGCTAAACATGTCAGCATATTTGAATGACTTGCATTAGTTTATTTATTTATTTAATTTTCATCAGTGTGTCTAAACAGGATGAACATGTATATAAAAATACCAGTAGAATCATTTAAATGAACTGTAACTAATCCAGGTCGAAGGTGCTTATAGCAATGTAGGCTACAGACTTAAAGCCACATGGCGATGAGGCCATTTAGGTGATGAATTGTCAGAGTGGAGCAGAATGTATGTGACACCGATGTGATTCATTCCGTTCGTTGTAGGATTTTATTATTCGGTCAAAGTCAAGTCAAAGTGATGTATTTACCCAATGAGCATTGAGGCTGGTGATCATCTTCCGTTTACAACCTTGAGCCAGAAGTGGAAATTACACATTGCTTTGGGGGGGGGGGGAAGAGTCTATCCATAGAACGAGCACTTTGGATTTCCTCACAAAGTACTACTACATTTATAGACCCTGGGAGGGATGATGGGCTGAGTCAACCCCCAACCAGGGTTTTAACTCGTGGCTACCACTGAGAAATGCATCAAATTCATGCACAAGTCAGGTATTGTAACAAGCCCACAGCCACACTGCCCAGCTTCCATCGTATATAGAAACAATGGACAGCGCATAACAAGATCCAGGCAAACAACCTTATGTACGAGTGGAAAATCAAATAACCTCTCCTGTTATATGACCGTGGCTACAAACACCAAATCGTGGAGCACATAACTTAATATTGCCCCATGTGTAAATGTGAAGGCAGTGGGTGATTGAGCAAGTGGGTGTATGTAGTTGGGTGGATGGGTATCTGCATTCACTGATTCTCAAATGAAAGCAATTGAATGGCTAAATCACTTAGAAATGAATCTGTAATCGTTGTTCTTCAATGGCCATACCAAATCATCATCAGCGTCATTGTGATGAGAGAATGTACAAGATATGTGTTGGGTAATATTTTGATGCAACTAGAACTATTGATGTTTCTCTGGGAGCACCGAAGGCGTGTGAAGGCAGCGAAATGCTTATACAAGACGATAAAATGCGGATGTATAGCGCCTTTACAAATGACCGCATTTTCAGACACCATAAAATAAAGGGGGGGGGGGGGTGGGGGGGTGTGAGTAGGAAATTACAGAGCAGACGGTGATGATCGTACAGTGTAGTGTAGCTCAAGGTGAAGAAATCATGGGCAGAGGACGAGAGGTGAATCTTGAGCCTGGACTTGAATAGAGCAAATGACGACAGGGAACCCTTGGGACGGGGGAGTTTCTCGCAATGTGGATCTGCAGTTGAGAATGACGCGTGCAGTCGAATTATGCCACCAGCGTTGCGGTTGTACTAAGCATATGATAAGCCTGTGTGTATATCTGAAGCCTCATACACATGTCCCAAATATGTCTGTTTCCAGAACTTAAAATCTGCAATTGTGACTAAAATATCTATTTTAATATATAATATATATTTTAATATATATTTTTATATATATTTTGGGTGAAAACATACCAACTTCAGAAAAATGTTCACACCTAACCTAACAGAAATAGACTTTGTTATATGTGCATAGTTTTATGGTGATAGCAGATCTGTACGGTGCATTGCCTCTACTGAGATGTCACCGTGACGTGGAGCGGCCAGGCTTGTTGGACCCACAGTTTAAAAAAAAGATGCAATTTCCCATGCACGGTCCTGGCCCTGATTTCATTTTCTTGGTGACTAGCATTCCATATGCTTGCATAATCCCGCTCATGCGTGTGGACGCACATGCCGGCACACACACACACGTGTACACACCGCCCACAGCCGCCTGGGGACTTCAGCCCACAGTGAGAGTGGTGTAAAGAAATTGAAAGAGGTGGGATGGGGTGTGATGCAGTGCCAATGTTCAGTGTTCCAGAGGTAACTTTCAGTTCACAGAAGTGTGGAATATTCATTTCCTTTGGGGAGAGAAATAAAAAACACACGTACAAATGCCTTTTTACACAGACGTGGCCATGTGTGATGTTCTGTGCTTTGAGAGTCCGCCATAGACGTACCAGAATCATTTGTTTCCCTGAGCACTTTCAGGCCACTTTTACCAATATGTGTTTGCAAACGTGAATTACTTTATCAATTATTTAGCGACTATTTTTTTATATATATACACGGCCTTCCTTTCTCCCTACCCCCCTTCCTGCCTCTCATTATTTCCCGTGTTCTCTCCGAGCGATGGATGGTGGCAAGGAGTCGTTTGCCGCCGCTGCTGCTGCCGCTGCTGCTGATCTCGCCCGCTCACTCCGACTGCCGCAACACCTCATCCTCTTCCCAGTGGAGCAACCCATTGCCCACTGCACGTTCAAGAGAGAGCCCCCGCCGTTTATGCGTCCCAGAGTATTTTGGCGGCTGCTGTAAATTCCCATTGCTATGGGCCACTTCGTTGAGCTATCATCTGTGGCCAGGTCGCTTCTGAAAAAGAGCTACGTAGCTCAGTGGGCCTTGCCTGGTTTAAAAAAAAAATGTACTCGGGAACTTGATTCAACCAACTTTATTCTCTTGCCTTTCTTTCGAGTAACTTTCAGCTTTAAATATATGTAATTAAGATTTCTTTTTTGGAGATGCAGAAATTATTATTTTGAATTGAGGCTTTTTTTTTTGTTCCTCCCTCCAAGCCGATGGGGCCTCCAGAGCATGACTTTTGTATGCCTTAATGTCTGCCTGTTTGTCTCTTTCATGCTTACCTTCTCCATTTCATACACATCAGGAGGAGCTACATCTATTACGCTTACTACTTGTAAGTAGTGAGGAAACTTGCGCGTACTTACCATATGCAGCTGATAGGTCTAATTTCAGAGATATTTTCAAATGGAGGGAAATGAATATATGTTAAACCAATCAATAACAATCTGCCCTTGTAATAATCAAAGGATACCTTTGTCACACGGGTTGTGTTAAGCGTTCCCACATGCTCCCGAAAGGGAATTGGGTGATTTGTACTTAAATAATGGAACAAAATGTGCTCAGGCCAAGCATGGCCAAACGTCCATAGTATTAAATATTGACACGAGAATATTTCTTCCTAAAGCAGCTGCAACTTTTAATCCACGTTTTATTTACTAGTTAGTTTCATTTACACATTTGCCCATGTGTATATTTTATCCATTGTATATCCATGTCTGTGTTCGCACACTCATTTAATGCGCTTACTTTTTTTTTAACTCGGCTTGCCTTCCATTTTATGTCCACATTGTTTCACTCGGACCTTGTGAAAGAGCTGATTTATTCAATGCATATACCATAACACCGTACAATATTTTTATATATAAAGTTTCACATTGATCAGCCTCCGCAATCTTTTTCCCAACACTCGTAGCAGCGTATTCCAAAATAAAAAAAACTCAAACAGCATACACATAGAGCCAAGGAAGTGAGAAATATCTGTACAAAAAAAAAAGAATGAGTGTTTGCCCAGGGTACACGGAGCACTGAAGTCTGCGGGGATTTTCCAAAGTAGTGCTCTCATGCCAAGCCACACTCTGTTATGGAAATGCCATTAAAAAGGAGGTGTGTTCAGACCTACAAATAAGCAGGAAAGAAAATAAAACTATACTCTTTGGTTCTATTCGGTGAAGTCACATAGGTAAAAAATAAAACAACAAAAATCACAACGTTTCGGCCACAACACAAGCAGCCTTCATCAGGTGAAGGGACCAGACTGTCTCGAGGACAGCGCTGGAGTGAAACACAGCCACGCTCAGACCGCGACCTTTAAGCTTTGTGCGAGGAAACAAGGTGCTTTGACAAAGAAATTAGCATAAAAATTAGCATTTGATTGGCCGACTTAGCATGATGAACGGTGTAGAGGTGGTGTACATGCCGGTTGGCGAGGGGGGGGAGGGGGAGTTTACCTATTGATGGTGTGAAAAGGGAATTTTTAAGAGCTGCGAAAGTTTGGGGTACCACTACTTGAAAAATATACTGTACCTTTGAAAATTAGTTTAATGTTTGGTTCGATTTAGAACATCTTTCCAATGGTTGCTTAATTTGAAACCATCTTCTCGGTTGAAATTGTGTCTGTGTTTGTAGAACTAATTGCAGGTCGCGTTATGTTATCTGCTCGAGATACTGCTTACAATACTCTGAATACCTTTAGACAAGACGTGTACCGTTGCCTCTGGACACACGGTATTTTTGGGTAGGAGTCGCGCGTTGGGGGGGGTGGATTTTAATTGCTGACCATGGACAGCATCGGTGGCAAATGTTAAACGAGCACCTCATGCCATGTGTGAAGATCAACACCGGGGGAGGCAAAGGTGGCTGGGCATGGTGCTGTCCACACCACCCCCTCATATGGCGTGTGGGCCATCCTTAAACAAGATATTTGTTTTCTCTCAACGTGAGTGGGGGAGCAGTGGTGGAGTGGTCATCGCTCCTGCACTGTTGACGCCCGCAACTTGCCTTCGATTCTCAGTCGTGGATAACGTCAGCGGCGAGTGGTATCTGAGCTTGCCCTGAGTGACCCCTGGGGTCAGATACGTTTTAAATGAGAAGCTGGCGCTGTGTGGAAACAGCGAGGCTGGAGAGACATAGGCAACTAGAGGCAGTGTTGTGCGTGTTATAACCCCTCGTGCCGTTCTGCTGGTCTCAGTATGCACTAACTAACGGCATTTTCCCCCAGTAGTCTTAATGTTTATACAGAGCACCAGGTACACTCCGCTTGTGCGTACTCTCGGTGCTTGTGTGAGAGGGCGATGCAAACCTTTTATTTTGCACAATTTGGTCGCGCTAAACGCGTTGTGTACATTTATCAGAAGTCTTAAGCTCAATTTACCTCCAATTATTCTTTATGGTGTGGTCTAAAAATACAAAAGAGTTCATAAATGTAGATAACATTTGCTTTAATGTCATCTTTACCTATCTCGCGTCACTTAATGTCACCTACTGGCCAATGCTATTTATCACTAAATTGCATAAAATTTCCATTCATAGGCACCATATATCGATTCATCAATTAAAATCTATTCTTATGCTCGCAATACAAATGTCAAAGCATGTGGGCAAAATGCTGTGCATCTGACTTGCTGAGGGATTGAGGTATAGTATAGGCGGATGTGTGAAAAGGTCAGATACGTGGCCATCTATAGAAAATGGTAGTTACGCTACGTGCAAATATTGCACTGGGTGTGGGCGATTAATTGTTCAGGGTGGATGTTATGATTCATGGTTGGGTTTGCAATGTTATAATGTAGCTTGTATACAATGGGTCCTCATGTCGCTGCTACTAGAGGCCACTACATTCGCCACAATGGGGAAAAGAAAATCAATCATTGAATCGCAGCAATCAAATCATGACTGTGCATAGAATTGAAATGGGGATAGGAGGTGAATTGGTAGAGGTTTTATATTAAACGTATGGGTACAAAGTAGCCTCAAACTCGTAACTTTCCTGATTAACAAAAAAAGCTCCCAGCAGATGTTCCACCTTTGCTCATAATAACGATAAAACGCTTAATTACATTAGTTCATGCAATTCATAGAACACAATTCTTACATTTATATAGTCGCCGAATAACTAAATATTGAGTATCCGTCAGTGAGTTTGAATTGTTGAAAGAAGGAAAAGTTTGGTAAATCAGTGGGCGAGGACTTGTTTCAAGCTCCTTACATGTTGCCAACCTCAAAGACTTCTTTGAATAATTGTTTGTGTTAGATGAAAAGGACTTGCGAAAAGAAGGGCTATTAAATAGCGGTGAGGATATTTTGTGGTGGTGAATCAGAATCAGAATCAGAAAGGGTTTTATTTGCCATGAAAGTTCACACCGACACGGAATTTACTTTGGCAGGATGGTGCTTACATTCAACATATAGGAATCTAAAATCTTAAATAAGTTTTAAACAAGTCTTACTATAATAATAAGGGTTACAAGTCTAACTAACACCAAGGGGCTGAAGTATATAAAATTGAATAAATATCGAATATAAAATAGCTTTAAAATATAATTTAAAAATAAAAAATACAAATAGGTTAACATAGTTAATATCGGCAAGGTGTCATTATGTAGATAAAATGTTAAAATCAGTGTAAGCCCTTGGCCTTGTTTAACAGGCCAGCAGCAGATGGGAAGAAACTGTTTTTATGGCGTGAGGTTTTGGTCCTGATGGACCGAAGCCTTCTGCCGGAGGGGAGTAGCTGAAACAGAGAGTGTCCAGGGTGGGATGAATCGGCCATAATCTTCCTCGCTCGCCTCATGGTCCTTGTCGTGTGCAGGTCCTCGAGGGTTGGTAGATTGCAGGCAATTACCTTCTCAGCAGTGTGGATGATACGCTGCAGTCTGCTCTTGTCCTTGGCAGTGGCAGCAGCGTACCAGACGGTTATGGAGGAGGTGAGGATGGATTCAATGATCGCTGTATAGAATTGCACCATCATTGTCTTTGGCAGGTTGAATTTCTTCAGCTGCCGTAGAAAGTGCATCCTCTGTTGAGCTCTCTTGGTGAGGGAGCTGATGTTCAGTTCCCACTTGAGGTCCTGGGAGAGAATAGTGCCCAGGAAGCGGAAGGACTCTACAATTTTGACTGGGGAGTCTAACAGGGTGATGGGGGTGAGTGGGGCTGTATTCTTCCTGAAGTCCATAACCATCTCAACTGCCTTTAGAGCATTTAGCTCTAAGTTGTTCTGGCTACACCAGGTTGTCAGCTTCCCACCTATAGTCAGACTCATCCCCACCAGAGATCAGCCCAATGAGGGTGGTGTCGTCCGCAAACTTCAAGAGTTTGACAGACAGATGATTGGCGGTGCAGCTGTTGGTATACAGGGAGAAGAGCAGTGGGGAAAGGACGCAGCCCTGAGGAGTTCCGGTGCTGATGGACCTGGAGTCGGAGATTTGTGTTCCCAGCTTAACGCACTGCTTCCTGTCAGACAGGAAGTCTGTGATCCATTTACAGGTGGTGTAGGGCACGTTCAGCTGGAAGAGCTTGTCCTGAAGCAGGGCAGGGATGATGGTGTTGAAGGCAGAGCTGAAGTCCACATACAGGATCCTGGCGTAGGATGCTGGGGCATCCAAATGCTGTAGGGTGAAGTGGAGGGCCATTTTAACTGCGTCGTCCACAGACCTGTTGGCTCTGTAGGCAAACTGAAGGGGGTCCAGGAGAGGGTCTGTGATGGCTTTGAGGTGTGCCAGGACCAGGCGCTCAAAAGACTTCATTACCACAGATGTAAGGGCGACCGGTCTGTAATCATTTAGTCCTGTTGGTCTTAGCTTTTTGGGCACAGGGATGATGGTGGAGAACTTGAGACAGGCTGGTACATGGCATGTCTCCACGGAGGTGTTAAAGATGTAGGTGAACACCGGAGACAGCTGGTCAGCGCAGTGCCTGAGGGTGGCTGGAGAGACAGAGTCCGACCCGGCTGCTTTGCGTGGATTCTGCCTCTTGAAAAGTCTATTAACTTCTCCCTTCTGAAAGGAGAGAGTCGTCTCTGTAGTATGGGTGGGGGGTGGGGCCTCTTGGGTGGGAAGGGGTGGTTCAGGACAGTCCAATTGTCTTTCAAATCTATAGTAGAACTCGTTCAGGTCGTTGGCTAGGCGGGAGTCGTTAGTGGTGTGGGGGGCTCTGGGTTTGTAGTTGGTGATCTGCCTGAGCCCTCTCCAGACAGAAGCAGCGTCGTTGTGAGTAGAGAACTGGTGTTTTAGTCTCTCTGAGTACAGTCGTTTAGCCTCTCTCACCGCTTTGCTAAACCTGTTCTTCGACTCCTTGAATCTGTCTCTATCCCCACTCCTAAATGCTTCCTCCTTCTCC